CCCCCCCCAATTGACAACAGAAAATGTAATAATTTTGATATTCTACCCTTCGTTAGTCATACGTATTGTGTTGCAGTCAAGAACAAAGCATACAATTCGTCCAATAACGAATGGGACTACAGTTGTTTTCTGAAGTTAAATTTAAAATAGAATACCAAATTATCTGCATATATAATAATGCGTGTTTTGTATATGCCAAAATAATCGCCGGGTTAAAGGTATAGTGTTTAATATTTCCTGTATTGTGTTACAGACATCACGGTCCGTGGCTTTATCTACACCTTTACACGATGCCGCCTGGCTGGGAGAGCTTGATAAAGTAAAGGAGCTGGTCAGGTCTGGGGCGGACCTCGGGGCAACAGATAGAAACGGACAGACACCTCTGATGTGTGCCGTGATTAATGACAAAGAAGCTGCTGCGGCATACCTCGCCAAGAAGATGACTGTCCAGGAGTTGAATGTGGTGGACGACGACGGGGACAATGTGTTACATGTGATAACTTTATGTCGTTGTCTGTGGTCACAGATGATACAGGACATAACTGATACCTCTCCTAGCCTGTTACAGCAGGAGGATAGTCACGGGGATAGACCGATAGATAGTGCAAGAGTTATAAGTCAACGGGTTTACAACATTCTCGGTATGTACGCTTAGCCGTATCTATGTTGATCCTCACTTATTCACATATTAATATATATTACTAATTATGCAAAAACACACTTATTACTAAAGAACACCTAGTGGAGTTTATATGTGAGCACACTTCTTAAAACATTCAGCTGTTTTATGATGGTCGCAGTTATATTCAATGAATTGATTTTGTTCATCTAATACAATTATAAATAACAAAAAACAACTCGTTCGAATCTGTCTTTAATATTGTTCATAATTATAAGTTCTTAATGCGGTTTAATACCAGATATTTATTATTATTTTGACAGTAAATTGAAATATCATTTTTAAAACTGAGGCGTGCTTAATCCCTAAAAAGAACGCAATCAGGACACTATAGTATATACTGCGTGCTGTGTGTCCTGCTTTTCACGCATTTAAATATTCTAATGTGATATCTTCTCTACTTTCTGTATCGTTGTTAAGTGATAGAGTAGGGGTCTAGACGTGTTTTTTTTTATTTGTATTGTTTTTTTTTGTGAAATTTCGGAGCAATGGATTCAGTATATAAGAAACTAATCAAGGATTTTTGTGCTGTAAGCGATGTATTTGAACTTTCATATACTCGGCGATAGGACGTTGGATACGGCCCGTGGACATATGGCACGGACAAGGCGCGCGCCACGACACTGTGTTGTTAATTTGTGTCTACCCTTATTTACAAATTGTCTGGTATCAAAATGTGTTTAAACTAGCTAAACTTCTGTCTTGAATACTGTACCTTTCGATGAAACAATTGCAAACAATCACAGAAAGGCATTAAGATGTATATTTTGAAATTTGCGGCGGTATATCGTGATTATACTGTCGCAAAATTAGTTTTACAGTAGAACGGTTATTTGCAACAATATTATCACGATATACCGCCGCAAATTTCGAAATACAGTAATGTTATCCTCATTCTAATTCATATCAGCCATAACCACAAAAAGAAACGTCGGTTTTAAGATATTTTTGAGTGTTTTCTTCAAATTCTGGGTCACTTTGCCCCGGATTGGTAACGTCAGGAATATTGGAGGTGAGGCAGAATTACGTTGACCTTTCGGGGTCACGCTATTGTTCGTGACGTCATGGATAACCAATTTCATGAGTCAGGGTCACTCGGGGTCATTGACGTCATTGAACTTTGCTACCCGGGCTTCCAATGCAAATGAGAAGTTTTGCGGACGGGATATATTGTCGCAACTTATTTTGATTGACCAATCAAATGTCGTGCTAAATCTCAAATGAATTGGAATTTACAATTGAGCCAGTTGTTCAGATCAGCTGGTTAGATCAATAATATAAAGGTCTGAGGTCCGGGGTTCGAAACCCGTTCGGACCTTTTTTTACCTTTTCCCCTCTTTATTTCATCTCTTTTTTTCCCATTAAAGTTGTATAAGGTATGTCTCTTTCACTTTGCAGAAATAATTAATCAAATAAATAGTCATAAATAGCCTACATGACTGCACCCATACGGGTTTCGTCTCACTGA